TGTTCTTGCATGAGGCCCAATATTTCCTTTTTGTTTCCAAACCACAAAATCACTGAATAATAATAAAGAAAAAAATCCACATAGAATTAGTTTTCAGGCTTGTATTATAAGTGAGAGAACAAAGAAAGTCCAATATTCTTCACAGTTGAGCGAGGAGAAAAAAAAGCAAAAAGAAGGGCACTCATTGACTTCCATACATGTCGCTCCACAGCAAAAGCTGGGAATAAAAAGAAAAAGAATGCATAAGGCCCCGTTTACATTTTACAATGCACATAATGACAACATTATTTACAACAACAAAATAATAATAAATTGACTTACAGATGTTTGATGAAAAAAGAATCTCACAGAGGCAGGATCAGGATTCAGTTCAGTTAAGTCTCGTTATCTGGACCAGATCTATGTAATTTTAAAGCAGATTTTGCTTTTCAAAGTCGGCACAACAAAATTTTTAGGTAAATTTTTAAGATTGAATAATTCTTAAAACTTACGAGAGACTTGATTTCAATGACGTCACCGGCTTTCCGAACCTCCGTGTTGACACGTCAGCACAGCTGATACACAGAAGCGAACTTTYCTTTGTAGATGAATATGGGGATCTCTAAACTACCCAACAAGGCAGAGGTGCTGAAAGCAAAATACGAGGGATGAAACAGCCTCGAATCAGCCCCAAATGGCTTTAGTATGGGAGTCTGACGGACTGACGGCATCAGGTGTTACTATCCCCGGAGCTAGAGGAAGACTGYCATTTCACCTGTCTGATAGAGAAACACCTTGGCTCTGATATCCAATGAGGTGAGTCTCTGAGAAGCACGGTGAAAACCAGGGCGTATCCCAAAATAAGAGGGCAGGAGGGGCAGAGAGAGAAAGGAAACAGTGGAAACAGTGCAACCAGCAAAAAAACGAGCGGGTTGTCACAATATTACATGGATGGGGCCATTTTATTTACACACAAAGCATTCTGGGTAAATGATGACATGGATAGGTCCTTGGTGCAAGGCTGCTAGCGAGCTATATCCACCCTGAAGGTTAATCTTGGACAATATCTGACAAGTGGCTCTTTTAAATGAAACCAGAGAGCGTTGACAGAGAGAAGGTAGATATGACTCAGCCTACAACTGAAAATATAGATGGAGGACAACAGAGCTGCTTCACGGAAGAAGAATCTCAGCTTAGCCTGTTAGCTTTGGCATTAGCCCCGACGCTATCACCATATATATGTATTAGCTCAGCGCTACACATTCTCCTCTCGTAACYGAGGTCCACCATCCACATAACAAAGAGGGGAATGCAAAAATGACAGCCTGCAACTTAGCTCGGTACTAGCGAGCTAATACATATAAGGCAATATAGTGTCAACGCTAGCGCAAAGACTGAAGGCTGAAACATACTCGCTCCGAACTGCCGACGTCAGCACGGGTTGTCACAGTTTAATGATGAAAATTACGTCACCAGGCTTTGCAAGGTCGTGTCGACAGTCCCTTTTGGCACAAGCCCCCGACAGAACTTTTAGACCCCCCTCCTCTGTCGACGGTAATGTGCGATTGGTCTGAACTGAAAGCGCTCGGACGGACACAGCAGAAGAAAAAAACAAAAACTCGCTTCTGACTAGAGCAGACTGTTTTGAGCAGTTTTAAAGATAAACAAACCGAGAAAAACTCATGCGTGCTTGTGCTGACAGTGCTATGCGCTGCATTTACTTCAACCACTCCGTAAAAAAAAAGGAAAAAATAAAAACAGACTCGCTACCCGACCCGACCAGGAAGCAGAGTTTTATAAAGATAGTCAAACTGTGAAAAACTCATGAATGGACATAAACAAATGTTGTGCATGGAGGAATCTGAAACTGTGGAGCTTTTTAACCAGGACAGATGTGGATCAATCTGTCGGGTGAGTGACTTTTTTCTGCATTGCTGTTGCAGGGAGAAATTCCATGCAGTGAGGGGTAGGGGGTCCCCGATTCGGAGCAGGGTGCTGGAACTATGAAAGGTCTGTGCGAAAATGACTGCCGAACAACCACGTGACCACATGTCGACCCGTTGGCATCGGAGCAAGTATGTTTCCAGCTTAACAGGCAAAGCTGATGTTCTTCTTCCATGAAGCAGCTCTGTTGTCCTCCATCCACATGTTCAATCACAGGCTGAGTCGTTTCTGCTTTTCTCCTCTTTATCAAGGCTTTCTGGTTTCATTTAAAAGAGTCTATCGTCAGATACTGTCCAAGATTAACCTTCAGGGTGGATATAGCTTGCTCACACCGAGGACCAATCCACGTCACCATTTATCCAGAATGCTTTGCGTGTGAATAAAATGGTTCCGTCCGCATTAAAATATATTTTTAAAAATTTACAAAACTAAACAGCCTAAAGT